CCTTCCAAGGATGAAACCATGACCCCTAGATCTAAGTCTTGAGCCTAAATGTAGGAAATTGCTATCATATAACAGCCCTGGGAACTGGAACTGTGCTGTGAAGCTGTAGCACTGGTATATTTGCCAGTCATTTTCATCTGATCATAGGGACAGCTGTGCTACTTTGCATGCAGAGCCTCTGTCCCAGGCACCCTATTGATCTTGCTCCCTCCACCCCATGCCCTGAAATGGAAAGATTGATTGAATCGCTAAGATGAATGGAGTTATATGCACCAAACTCGTTTTCCAGTGGTCACTGTGACCTTTTGTAAAAAGTGTTGGTTCAGCATTCAGAAGTATGATTCCCAACAGTGCACAATGAAACGCATATCACAAAGCAAAGCCTTACAATGATTTTCTTTTATGCTGACAAACTGAGCAGTAGGCAATGTTCATTTGCTCCAGAGTCAGGAAAAGAAAAGCAACCAGTTATGAAGTCAGAGAATATCACAACTGACTTGTTACAGCAAATATTCATGATTCTATAATTTCTTTAACTAGTCACTTAGCTCTTTTTGAAAGGCATTATTAAGCTTGCTACAGAATTTCAAAGGGAATCAATGTTATTAAGCAACTAAACAATTAAACCTTGGAATATTAAAATGATTACAGGCAGATAAACCGTACTGCAAAGAGGCCCTTAAAATGCATCTGAGATCTCACTCAATGGAAATAAAGATTTGCAAAAAAGTTTTTCAGATTGTATTTCTAATTATCTCTAATTGATTATTTTCTAATGCAAGTGAGTCGTGAGTCGTTGTATAAATATATTCTGTATACAAATTATTTTATAATGTTTATCTTACAGATGAACTAAAAGAAGAAAATGACTCATTTCAAGAAATAATCATTGTCAACATTTTGCTTTAAGGTCAAGAGTAATTGGGTTTATAACCTGGTTTCAACATTTATTGACTCTGGGATCTGGGGAATTCACTTAAATCTTTTTTGATTCAATTTTCTCATTTGAATAATTGAGATTTAAAAACATTACCTTCCTTACAGTGTTTTGGGTAGAACAAACTAAGTAATCTGTGTAAAATCTTAAGTCAGTTACTTATTTGGTACTGGGAATCGAACTCGGGTCCTTCAGTTCCTTATATTTGACAAGCACTCGAGTATTAGCTATTTTATATATCTTCTATAATTAAATGAAGTTTTATTATATGTACTGGTATATAATCAAGTTTTTGTTGAACAGCATATGGTAAAACATTTTGAGCTGGCAGTACCTGAACACCCTGTCCCAGGCCACAGAAGACCATGTGCCAACCGGGAACACTGCCGGGAATTTGTTTGGAGGTCAAAGTTCACAAGAACTGGAGGAACTTTTATCCAGAGATGAGTACTGATTTATCTTCAGTTATTTTGTCTTCTTACTTTAATCCCTCCAAAGACTTGGTGTTCTTGGACCCTTAGAAACTGTGAAACTCATTTGCAAAGAATGTGGAGAGGAAAGGAAAGGACACGTTGCTCTCAGGGCCTGCTGCCCGGGAGGTGTTGGTCCCCTCTCCACGAACTGCTGGTGGCAGTCAACACACTTGGCTGCTGCACCTTGGTGATATGGATGGGTGTGAATGTGCATGACGCCTAACAGGGAGCTCAGTGAGCCAACTGCAGACTCACAGCCTCCCCACTCAGTCTCTGGAAGATGAGCTGGCCTCCTTCACAGAGGAGTTGATGGAGACCCAAGTCACAGGTCACACGGACAGGAAGAGGCAGAATAAGTAGAAAATCCAAGGATCAGGCTCAGAACTCTGATTAGATTGATCTGAGCTGTGATAGTTTCACTCTTTCTTCTTCCTCTCTGTTTTCATCTGTATGAGAGGGACAGGAGTCCCTGTATTGATGCTCAGTGTCCTTCACAGCTGGTGCTAAAATTCTAAAATTGAGCCAAGAAAGCTTCAAAAGAAGAGGGAAGCTCAGTCCTGATCAAAAGGGAAGGGACTTCTGGAAGTGCTGCTAGGACAAAGGCACAGAACCACCAAAGGTAAATGGCAGAGAAGAATTAGCAGCCCCTTCCTTCCCTTCTGCAGAAGAATGTGATTGGGATGCAGAAGATGCTCCTGGGTCTCAGAGAGAGATGAGATGTAGGGAGATAAAAAACAAATATTACCCAAAGGTAATGGTTAGAAATATAATGCCAAGGTGAATAATATAGGCACACAGGTGAATGAGGCAGCAGGTGGGACTCGTGACAAAGTGAAGTCTTCCTGCTTTGAAAGGGTTGTCCTTAGGCACAGTTCAGCCAGGCGTGGACATGTGCAGCCCTTATCTCATGTACTAGCACTGAAGTTCAAAGAAATCTCTGGGCTCTTGAAGTTTTCTATTGTTTATTAGTGTGTATTTGCAGTACATAATGGTTACATTCATTGTGAGGAGTTGGTACATGTATAAAACACATCTTAATAATTTTTACAGCTCCTTTTCCTCCACTCGTTTCCCCCTCCCTCCATCTCTTTGACTCCTTCCTATTTGCAAGGGATTTAACTCCTGTTGTTTACTTATAATTTTGCTCTTTAATTTGTTTATGCTTTGGGTTTCTCATGTAAGAGAAACCATATGATATTTAAGCTTATGTGTCTTTTTTTTTTACTCATTGAGTTTATTGGTACATTTTAGGTATACAGTACAGTTACATTCATCAGTGGGATCTTGTACCTTTAAATGACAGGTCTTGGTTCTCATTTTTTCCCCTTCTCCCTGCCCTCCCTTCATCCCTTCCTCCCCTCCCCATTTACAAACACTTTATTTCCATTTTTTCATTTTCTCCTATTTTTTTCTTTTCCCTTATTACCTTTCCCCTACCCTTCTCACTTTCCCTACACTTTTAGCTCTTTTCTTCCTATTTCTCATTGTCAATTATCTCATTAGGATCTTATGTACCATTATAGTTTTTCACACTAGAGAGACTATTCAGCATTTATGTATGTGTGACTTATTTATTTCACTTAGAAGTATATCCTCAATACGTATCCATTTTTTTTTGTTTGATACCTGAGATCAAACTCAGGACCTTGCACTTGTGAGGCAGGCATGGTACCACTGAGCTAAATCCCCTGCCCTGATTTATTTTATTTAACATTATGATCTCCAAGTGAATCTATTGTCCTACAAATAAACCAAAAGCATCCTTTTATAGTAGAATAGTACTCCATTGTGTATAAATATCACATTTTCTTTATTTATTCGTCTGTTGATAAACACATAGGCTGCTTCCAGAATTTAGCTATCATGAGTTGTGCTACTATAAATGCAGGTAAGCAAGTATCCTTGAAATATGACGTTTTTAACTATTGCAGGAAGATATATAGAAGGGTAATAGCTGGGTCAAATGGAGTTGTTAGCTTAAATTTTCTGAGGATTCTCCATGATTCCCATGATGGTTGTGCTAATTTGCAATCCTGTCAGCAACATAGGCAGCCTCTCCAATATTTGTTGCTTCTTGAGTTCTTGACACCCATTATTTCTTTAACTTTTTATACCATTCATACTGTTTTCTGGTTTTAAAACTAGTCTTTGCATCATATAGCAGGCTCTGAATTCATTTTTCATGTCTGTTCCTTTGATTTTGTAGAAGATACCTCTGAGTATATGATTATCCAAATCAGCCCTGTCTTTTAGTTCTGATGCTCTGTCCTTATATTGGTCACTTCTGCTGCCCATACTTCCAAAAGAATTTATCTTCTGGATTTCTGTTTAGTATCTTTTCATTGACTATTCTTTACCCACTGATCATTCATGTTTCCTGATGTTTTGTTTAGCTCCATTAGCTTTTTACTAGTATCACCTGTAAGCTCATTGAACATTTTCTTTAAGTCCTCTGTTTAGTTATATCATCTTTTAGTTCACTGAGAACCTTATGAATCTGCTTTTATTTGCTCTCTTATCATTTCATACAATTCAGCTGTTTAACTTTTGATTTCCTCCACATTGAGGACACTTGGATCACCTTGGAGGCATGTTGTTGCATTATTTTCTCACTTTTTATGTGTGTGTTTGTGTGCTGAGGGGTGTGGGCTGATTATAGACTTCACTGCTACTGTGGATATCTCTTTAGTTTTTCCTTTCCAGGGATCCACTGTGGGCATGGCTAATTATAGGCCTTTGTCTTTTTCCTAAGATTTTATCATCCCTGAATTTGGGGGAAGGTGCAGTATAATTGGCCTCGCACTAAGTTCTCTGAAGTTAACCACAGTTTTGTTGATGTCACAAAGACAAATCAGATACTGGAATGCACTAAAAACCAAATAACAGCAATTCTCATGTATAGCAACAGTGATGAAATCAGCAATAATAGAGTCATGGCTAGATATTGATACACTATAAGAACCAATAAAATCTACCATTGTACCAACCTTAACAATCAAAAAGAAATCCATGATAATAACATAGACCCAAAGATAAACCAATATTGACGTACAGCAAATAACTACTAAATGCACTATAACACCGTTAATAATTTGAAAAGAATTCAACAATAATAGTATAGAACCAAATAAATATCTAAAGCTTAACAGGGCATAATAGTAATACCAGTAAAGATGGAGGGTTGTGGAAAGGAAAAAAAGTAAAATTTGAAAAATAAAGAAAAGGAAGATGAGATGGAAAAAGAGAAGAATCCTGTTGAGATGTAAATTAAATAAAAGTAACAGAAAATAATAAGAATATAAAAGAAAAAACAGAGATCAAAATAAAACAATAAAAAAACAACCCCTCAACTCCTCCAGAAACAATGAAGAATGAGAGAAATGAATCTATAATTTTTTCTCCATTTTTTTGGAACCAGGGATGGAACTCTAGCCTTGCTCTTGCAAGGCATGTGGTGGCACCACTGAGCTAAATCCCCAGCCCTCTCAGTGCTTTTTAATGAGTAGTTTCTTTCTTTCCAGGGTCTGGAATCCACCAGATATGGAGGAGGAATAGTGAATCACTAAGACCCATTTTGTTTCTACACTCACATTTTCAGGTGTGAATGATGAATCCTGCCAATCTTTCCTGCTGGGCTTGGTCATCAGCTCTAAGGCTATATTCGCTCTAGTCACTCACAGTCTCTGCATCCTTCTGTGTCCCCCAAGACAGGATTTTCTCCACCTAACTTCATGGTCTGAGGATTCTTGAGGTGCTCCTGTACTCCACCAGTCCCTCTGTCCGTACACAGTGCACCCCTGGCTGTGACAACCAGCCACACTGAGGTGTGTTCTTGATCTCATTGGCAAGTGGGAAAGCAGCAGACCATTGTGTTCTGTATTGGATGAAGGCAGTGAGGCAGAGGGATCAAGCAGACTGATGGACTTAATGGCAGCACTTTTTTCAGGCCCAGCCCCCTCTGAAAGCCCCACACAACCAACCTGGATTCTCAGCTCAGAAAGCAAGTCCCACTTGTCCTTCCTGGCCTGACCTTAAACTTCTCAGGGGTCTACCTAGACTATACCCTCTCCACGACTGTCTTTTGTGGCTGTGCTCCACCCAGTCACTGTGGTAGGGCGACCCCAGGAACCTCAAAATATAATCGTTCTGTGGTTATTGTGTAGCTCAGTTTTAAATAATTAAGTCATTTTCAGAATAGCTCCTGATCAAACACTTTTAAATATGACAGGCACCGTATTGGATTTCTTCTCCAGTTTTAGCCTTTTGCCATGCAAAAGGAATCACATTTCCGAGTAAAATCCCATACCGTTTTTGCAGTTTACATTTGCCATGGGCTTTTCTTGGAGTATGTTGTTTTTCCTGGTGCTGCCAACCCTGTCCTGGCTTAACTTGTGATATCAAAAATGCCCCCCCCACCAAGGAGGTAGAGTTAGCTTTCTAAATTGCTTCACTCTTTACTCTGTACTGTGTGCCATTTCTCCACTTCTTGGTAGTCTCTAGTTTTCCTGTCAGTTCCTTCCCAATCTCCAGAAAACTATTATTTTTTCTTCACCAAGTTGTTGTTTTTCAAGTGTCTTGATTCCAGGTCCTCATCTTTACTCCATTATTCTTGAGATCTTGAATTTAAAGAACATTCATAAGAGCTAACTTGAATCACACACTCAATGATTGACACTCTCTATATCTGGGGGATGAAAAAGAGCAGAAATGAGTGGAGGCAGAGGGAGCGATCTGGAAGCAGAACACTAACCGAAAAACTATCTGTGGAGATGTCAGCAGAGAGGGAGAGGGAGGCAGCAGCCTGCAGTGGTTCCTTACAAAGAGCTGGGAACACAAGGCAGCCTCAGAAAGGCTGCTCAACTTGGCATCAGCCTCTCTCTCTACCCTCCTCCAGTATCAGCATTGCACTGCCATTTGCTAGTTCTCTCAGATACCGCCCTGCATGCACACACAGGCACACACACAGGCACACACACACACACACACACACACACACACACACACACACACACACACACACACACAGGTGCAGGTACAGCCCCTATAAGAGTCTTGCACAGATGCCATTTTGGCATCTGCTTTTGGAGGAATTGAACATTAATACCTTAGTAGAAGTAGAAGATTAGCCATTAGGTGTTGGAGTGATACTTCAAAGGGTACTGGGAGCGATGACGGATTTGGAGCTACAGATCCTGGAATAAATAATTTATTAGCTTTACAAATCCAACTATGTAAAACGGAGTTGAAACAGAAAAAAATGGCTCAACCCATGCTGGCATTTTGTTTTTCTCAGTGCAAGAGGTTGAATCTATGCTATATAAGTGCTGTATCACTAAATTATATCCCTTGCCCTTTATTCCAGTGTTAGACAGAATCTTGTTAAGTTTCCCAGGCTGGTTTCAAACTTGCCACCCTCTTCCTTGGCCTACTGAGCTGCTCAGATTACCAGAGAGCATCACCACATGTGATTTCAGTCTTTTATGTTTTGAGACAGTGTCTTGTTAAGTTGCTGAGTTGTTCAGTCTTAAATGGAACTTGTGATTCTCCAGCCAGCATCAGCTTTTCAGAGTGTTAGGATTACAGGAACATGTCACCATGATTAACTAACTTGCTTTTTTTTTTTTTTTTTTTTTTTTTGTACTGGGGAACAAACTCAGGACTTTGAGCTTGCCAGGCAGGCACAGTACCACTGAGCTACATCCCTGGTCTAACTAACAATATTTTCAAGTCTAGAAATTATTCACATGTCTACCACTTAAGAAAATCTCATTAGTTCATTAATTTTAAAATAATGGAATCATTAGTTCTTTTAAGTCGAGTCTTTCTAAAAGTTAGAGATTATTTTCATTTGTCATTGACTTTGGGAAGGCAGAATTAATACAGAATGATAAAAGTTCCTTTTATTGCTCTCCTTTTCCCTTTCTCTCTTTTCCACCCTTTTTCAGATTTTAGTTTTTTGGGGTTTATCATATGTGTTTGTCGTGCATAGTGATCACAGTCAGCCTGGGGGGTTGATAAGTATACATACCACATCTTGATCATTTGTATTCTGCTAATTCTGTTGTTTGATTGTTCTAGTACTGGGGATGGAATAAGTTGTGTGAATCTGAACAAAACTTGAGAAAACTACTGAAACCTAATGAGTTGTTTTCAAACTTTTTGGAACAAAGAACATATTAATAAAAGTGGTCATTTTGTTATTATTTACTTTAGTTTTTTAATTTTAATTTTTGTACTTTGTGGTATTGGGGATTGAACCAGGTCCTCACATACCTATGGAAGTGCTCTAGAGAGAGGAAATGTAGACTAAGCCTGACAAGACATTAGCCACCAACCACTTGTGGCTAAGCGACTGAAATTAGATAGTTTGCACTGAGATGTACTGTAACTAAAATACACACCACCAGTCAATAACTTATGAAAAACAGTGAAAAAGAGCTCATGAAAAATTTATATTGATTATAAAGAGTAATAATATTTTGGATATATTGAATTACATAAAATACATTATTAAAACCATTTCCACCAGAAAAGAAATGGTCCAATATTCATAAGCCTTACTTAAGAAGCAGTTCCTGGTCAGACATACTCTGCTACCACTGTATCACTGTGCTTGTAGTCATTGCAATTAACATATACCCTCCTCATATTTATAACTACAGAGATGGAGAAGTGAACAAGACCAACATATTAAGCCCAGCTTTCACAGAACTGTTGACTGATTTTGGAAAGAGCAGTACTTATGAGCAGATAGATTGCTGAACAGGATTTCAGAGGAAATTAATTCAGGGATCCATTTAGGAGAGACCTAGGGAAGTGGGTCTAGAAAATATGATTTGTAGTTCATACAATAGTTTCCAGAACTTCCATAACAATTTTCCACAAGTCGAATGGCTTAAACAACAGAAATTCTTTCTCTCACAGTTGAGGAAGCCAGAAATCTCACATTAAGGTGTTAGCTGGATCGCATTTGCTTTGAAGGCTCCAGGGTTGAATCCTTCCTTGCTCCTTCTGTCTTCTGGTAGTTCCCAGAAATCATTGGCCGGCATTTCACCAATCTCTGTATCCACCAACACGTGACCTTCTGCCCTGTGTGTATCATCTTCAAGTTTCCCTCCCTTAACAAGAAGACCTACTATATTGGATTTAGAGACCACAATAATCCATTGTGACATCATGTTAACTTGATTACATCTACAAAGACCTTATTTCCAAACAAGGTCACACTCACAGCATCTGAAATTCGGACATGAGTACATCTGAGGGACACAACTTAATCCACACAGGCCATACAGCCAGCTAATGAAGAGCCATGGCTGTCAAGACTCCTGACTGAATCAACAAAAGCACAAATGAACCATCACCAGCAAGATGACTTTTATAATATTAATCCATCTCCCCAATCCTTTTAAGAGAAATTATTGCACTTCTAGTTTAATGTTTTGATGTAATAAATATTTATTCAACTGAGCACTTGTAAATCATCTGTACTATATTCAAGGGACTAGACATGGTGCATTTCCTGAAAAGAAGGCTTACAGTGACTCATACTCAGGGTCCAGAGAATAATCCAAACTTGTGATGGTTTTGTCTGCTCTACCCTGGGTGCCACCCTGGCTACTGACTTCCATTCCAGTCTCCTTCCCTGCCTTACTACCAAGATCTCCAGAGCTCCTGTCTCATCCTCAGGCTTCTGTCTGCATCCCAGAGGTATAAACTGGGTTCTCACCATCACTTGAGCTCCATCTGGAAGAGGAAGCAGTGAGCACTGAAATAAGGGAAGCCAGGACCACTTTGAATTTTTCAAACTTGAGCCATTAGAGGACCAATTAATCCTTCTCTAGCTAAATGTGCCAGCTTTTACTCAGGTGTGTTTTGTGGCACCCCTCCCTCAGTTTTTTTCCATCATTTCTATGAATCATGCTAAAGACTCTCAGGATCTCTGACTGAAGAGATAGGGAGAAAGGAGGAAGAAAGAAAAGCAAACCCATCCTCCCATTTGTAAAAATGTCTAGGTGTTGGGAGATAATGAACTTAAATTATAGCATTTATTTACATTTTCCCCACCTGAGAGAATGTTTAAAACCCCCAAGACTCTTCTCCGAAACTCACAGAGTGGGGTGGGAAGAAAAGATGTTCTGATTTAATTTCTACATTATAATGAAAGCAATTGTCCTCTGCGTGTCATTATTTTTCCATTATCTTAATGCATTGGTTAATGAAGATTTTCAGAGCCCGTTCATGCAGCTCCAAGAGTTGAGCAGATTCCATTCTCCACCCTGTGGATACAGAAACAGTTTCCCTGCAGACACAATTCTCTCCCTCACATCAAAGTCTGCTCAGGGCCAGCCTTTGACTGGGCTGCATCTACTGCCCTGTATGGGCAGGGCCGCTTTCACGCTAAGCCAGGTGGGTTTCTCTCCCCCATTACCTCTCATTTATGAGATCACTGCAAGAGGCAGTCCATTCAGAGGGGACCCACTGTGTTGATGGCAGCACATTAATAATTCTTGGGCACCAAGGGTACTTGGGATGCTAGATAGGCTCATGCATGACACAGAGCATCACAGCATTCACTCCCTCTGTGAAAGAAAACATCTTTAAAGTATAGGGATTTTCAGAATTATCCTCTGCCTGAAGGTAACAATTTCAGAATGGTCAACTTTTCTTTTTCTGACTTCCGCACTCTGTCCTTGATTTCTGAGTACAAAAAAGAGCAAAAGTTATGTAAAGCCTCCTTGAAAAAGAAATCAGACAAAGAAACAACCACCTAAGTAGGCTCATAGGGAAGGAAAGATGGAACTGGTCAAGTGGCTTGCGATGGGGGACAAGACACAAAGGTGCATGACTGTAAGGATGAGAAAGAGGGTGCCCACACCCTAAGAGAATAAGATAGTCCAGAGCGCAGGTGGTAGCAGAAAAGAGAAGCGTTATTGTAGACTTTGATCTCTGGGTCTCATGAATGGCTGAGAGAAGCTTAAACAAAAAAGTAAACTCTCTAGATGGATGGCATTTCTTCAAATGTGATACTTATCTGCCCTTGGCCACATTATCCTAGGCTTGTGAGTAAAATAGCTTGATCTTTAGGCACTCTGTTTCCATCTACCATTCTGGAATGAGACCATACAATTGTTGGCTTCAAGAGGATGAAGGCACACTGTAGATAATTCATTCTTATTTTCCATTTAATTTGGGGCAGTTGCTCTTGCCCTTTACCCCAGCCTCTGTTTGAAGGGTTCTGATCACACACACCTCAGGTTCAAATTATTGCAAGGGTCAGAAAGGGTGGTTTCCAGGCATTTTCAATAAATAAGTTCTTGCACCCTGTCTCGTGTCCCTTATCTGGAAAAGGGTCACAATGGTACCTCTCTCAGAGAGTCAGTGAGAGGACAAATTAACGCAATGAACTGGATTGCTCCAGAAAAGCAGTGCAGACTCTACTTGTGATGCACGTGGTCTTGTGGCTCAGTGCCCTGGACTGAGTCTGCACTGAAGAAATTCCCATCTGCGTCAGGAAAGTCCAGGGTGGACACGTACACAAACTAAACAATCTGGTGGGGTTTGGGTTTTAAAGTAAGTTCAGGTGACACAATAATACCCAACTAGGGGTAACACATACTGGGAAGCATTTTCAAAAGACTGTCTGTGCCAGATGGACAGAGATCCTTGGAAAGGCAATACTATTCCAATCATAATCATCCCATGTGTAGTATTTTGCAGCAGCTATGTTAAATGTCCTTCCATTTTTTTAAGTGTGGCATCTAAGTAAGAATATATTGAGGAATTGGGATCTTGGAAAATTTGACAATAAAGATTGAAAAAAATATTTAAGTATGGAAGCACTAGAAGGGAGTTTGTTTTTCTTTTTGTATACCAAGATTTTCTGGAGTAACAAAATAACATCATCTTAAAAATACTATTTAGCACAATTTAGTCCATAGCTTAGTGTGGATCTTTCTGCCAATTATTTCACCTTTTACTTCCTCAGTTTCTGAGGTCTTCAAATCAAGGAAATTCAAATAGGTTTAATATAAGGGGCCTTTCTCAGAACAGCCTTATTTTTCTAATATGTGAAAATTTTATAAGTAATAGATTTTCACCCCTTCAGAAAAGCTTCTATCTTCACAGTCAGATGATGTTTCCCACAGAAAACCCACACATTTTAATGCATTCTGCTTGAGGAATAATAAATGAAAGAATGACAGATGATAGGTGTTTTGAGTCTTGGATATTTTTTGACTAAAAAAAAAAAAAAAAAAAAAAAACTACCAAATGGTGAGTTTGGCCAAAAAGATGAG